GAAAAAGGCACATACATACTACTAAAAGCCGACACATACATACAAGTCAACCTATATGCACTTAAATGAGTGAAAACAGTAATGTGAGAGGTTACATATGTGTATGCGTGAGGAGAATGTATGTGTATATGAGGAAAATGTATGTGTGTAAGAGTCCAAATATGTATGTGTAAGAGGAGAATGTATGTGTGTGAGAGGAGAATGTATGTAAGTAAGAGTTAAAATGTGTGCATGTGTGAGTGTGAGAATGACTTATGGCCTACACGGCCACTCATACGCTGCTGCCTCACTTGGATTGCGCAATCCAAAGTGAGGCTCAGTTCGCCGCTCCCTCACGGGCTTCTCTTCCAAGCATTTGAATAGGAAATTGCAAAAAAAATTCAGCGATTTTGAATTTAAAAATCATCAAAATTGATGAGGCTAAATGAAAAAATACTTTATGGTACAAATCACTGGATAAATATAAGCATTTAAATTATTTTATCATTATATATTTTTTTCTTTCCGTGATGTCAGGTGAGGTTTTGCCTCTACCAAGTTGGCAACGCTGTGCGGTGGGTGTCGCACATCGGTGAGTGTGATGCATATTTTGAGCGACAAAAATTAAAATTTTATTTGAACGTTGCAAGATCACCATAATCTTTAAATGTAGAATTACATTTTTAAAACTAGTTTATTGAGAACTTTATTGATCCCTTTGGTGGAAACTATCCATCCATTATCTATACACCGCTTAATCCTCATTAGGGTCGCGGGGGGGCTGGAGTCTATCCCAGCTGACTCAGGGTGAAGGCAGGGGACACCCTGGACAGGTCGCCAGTCTATCACAGGGCTACACTTAGAGACAGACAACCAAGCACACTCACATTCACACCTACGGACAATTTACAATCACCAATTAACCTCAACATGTTTTTGGACTTTGTGGGAGGAAGCTGGAGAACCCTGAGAGAACCCACACTGCACGGGGAGAACATGCAAACTCCACGCAGAAAGATTCCAGTGCCTCCATCAGGACGCAAACCAGCAACCTTCTTGCTGTGAGGCAACAGTGCTACCAACTGCGCCACCCTGCAGCCCTGGTGGAAACTAACGAACTAAAATAAAATACATTTTAATTAGATACTCATTATTTATTTTCCAAAGCCACAAGGAGCCGCAGCAGAGGTACAAAAGAGCCACATGTGGCTCCAGAGCCGCAGGTTGCCGACCCCTGGTCTTGAACGTCTTTTCTTATGTTGGGTTCTCTTGGTAGTTGACCAGCCCACATCATAGCCTGTGTGATGAGATGCAATTAGGAGGACCTTCTCTAAGACGGTCTTCACCTGAATCTTTAACAATGCTGTTGTCCTGCTTTGTGGGTAATGTAGATGCCAGTTTTTACAAGGAAAAACACTGTGTGGAAACAAAAAATACATAATCTCTTGTTCCACTGCATCAGTTTTTAGTGTAGGTGTGAAACTGGTCATCATTGAATGTCTTGTTTGCATTATGTCATTTAGCTGAAGCAGCAATTCAGAAACCTGGAGAGGATGTATGCCACAGTATCCTGCTTTCTTACATAGCACTCCAGCTAGCAAATGTGGGTTTCTCACAACCAGGATAGGATCTCACCCAGGTATCTAAAATTCCAACCCAGTTTCATGGAAATTAATGAAATAGTCATGAAATTTAATCTATTGTTTTGTGTCCAGAGACACGAATTGGCCAACTTTTTAGTGTTCCATAGCACGAATTTCAAACTAATACTTTTCAATTGGAAGTATCTTTCGTGTCTGGGACACGTTTTCCGCTATTAGACAGTGATTACTGTGATGTTTTTGCTGTTCTTTTCTTCCGACAGTCAGGCATTAACGAATTTTACTGTTATGGCCCGTCCATACTAATAACTATAGAGATCACTATAAAGATGTGTGCGCAACACACTGACCAACGTTAACATCGGCACTGCGCATAAACTCCGTATTCATTCAAATATAAAAGACAAGAAATATATCCATGCAGAGAGAAGCTGTTCTGAGATCGTTCTCAAAGTTATCCCAACAATATCGTTCATAGCTATTATTGTTTATTTGTGATGAAGTGCTTTTACTGTGTTTGGACTACATGCTTGTTGTTACTTTCATTTCCCTGTAAACGAATACGACTCTGAAAAGAAGGACACATGCAGGACAATGGCAACTGGAACATGTACTGTGATCGCAGCAATGGATAATCTGACTATTGCAACGTAGAGGCCAGCGTTGGGGAATGTATCTGTAACTTTATGCAGCTTTTAGCTAGCTCGTCGAGGCTGGCTACATTAGCTACTAGCCTGGCGTAACTGCTGCTGCGGCTGCTGCTGCTGCTGCTGCTTCTTCTTGTATTGATTTGGTGGTTGGCATCCAACGTTCAGGTGCAATACCGCCACCTACTGTACACACAAAAACATTACAGACCCTCTAGGACGGCTCTCTTCTGGGTCTACGGTGAGGCTATGCGCTGACGTTAACAGGGTTGCCTTAGCAATGAGCGCAAATTTCCCCAAACACTGCCGGTGTAATAAAAACGCAAAAAATACCACAATACAATGTACTCTTTTACACTTATTTTATACTACACATATTATACTTTAACAGTAGCACATTTGTCAGTTTTTCAATCCGTTTATTTAGTTTATTAATACAAAAACACAACCCTAGTTCATGGTGTGTCCAATCACGTTGAATTGTAATGCTACTGGAAGTTGTAGTTCTTTCTTCAAAATTGTCGTTTCTCCTAAGTGGAGGTTGAAATATAAAACTTTAAGTGCATTTAGGGGTTTAAATTGATGAGGAACATGTTTGTTTTGACTGACTTTACAAATGAAATTGATATATATATGTATATGTGTGTGTGTGTGTGTGTATGTATGTATGTATGTATGTATAGGTGAAATTAAATTTTTTTACCATTTAATCTCATTTTAATAAAAAAAAAGCAATGAGTAACTACAACAGAAGTTAGGCCTTGCTTGTACATATATGTGTATGGCTCTTAGAGAGTGCTTATAACATAATAGTGTATTTATGGTAAATGAGAGTCCATGGAGTGACTACGATATATCTTATTCCATTTTTGTCCTTGATTTTTCTTCAGCTTCTCTCTCATCCCCCTTTGTGTGATGTTGTCCTTTTAACCTGTTTTTAACTACCTGTCCTTTCTGTACATTTTCATTTTTTTACATGTGTTTTCATGTTTATTGTTTTTACTGGTGTTTGCCCTGTCCTGCCTGATATTTTACCTGTATTTAATGTTCTACCTGTCAAAGGACTTTGTGAAATGTTATTCTTAAAGGTGCTATACAAATAAAGTTATTCTTATTATTCTTATTATTATTATTACATACTGTATATCCATATAGCCATATGACTGTTGGTAAAACACATGAATGAGCGTAACCTTGAAGTTGTTTTCCTGAGGAGATAAAGCAGCCAATAAGGATGTCCCCAATGTTAAGGTTAGGATAGTATGAAGCAGGATTTAACCAGGAAAAACATCTTTAATGAGGCAAAAAATGACACTCATGTGTTCCAGTAAGTCAAAACAAAGCTGTCATCGACACATTTACCCATTATGTTTAAAAATATTATTTTCATTTAATTTAATTTAAGTGAGCTTTGCACGTGTCCTGGAAAACTATACCTGACACAGGGCTGGGTCCAGAGGGGTGAACATTAAAACTTTGTCATAGGACTAAACATGATACATCATCTTGAAGGACTTGATCAGGGGAGTAAGATTATGTCGGTCTGGAAGCTCGAAGTTGCTCTTGCGCAGAGATATTGACATTTGTACTTTGACTTTGGTGCATCTTTTAAAGCTTCTAATTTAACAATAAAAGGGGCTGGAATCATGGGACCAACTGTTATACAAAGCTCTTGACTTCTACTATTGTAGGCTGTGGCTTGATGTTTTCACCAGCAGGGGGCATCACAAAATGTGGTAAAAATTTAATTTCACCTGTTTATATATATCAATTTCATTTGTAAAGTCAGTCCAAATAATCATGTTCCTCATCAATTTAAACCCCTAAATGCATTTAAAGTTTTATATTTCAACCTTCATTTAGGAGAAACAGCTATTATGAAGAAAGAACTACAACTTCCAGTAGCATTACAATACAACGTGATTGGACATGCCATGAAATATGTAGTTCTTCTTGGAGTTTACAACTAGCTTTGTGTTTTTGTATTAATAAACTAAAATCAACGGGTTGAATACTGACAAATGTGCCACTGTTAAAATATAATACGGGTAGTTTGAAATAAGTGTAAAAGAGTACATCGTATTGTGGTATTTTTTTGTGTTTTTATTACACCGGCAATGTTTGGGGGAAATTTGCCCGTGTTGCTAAGGCAACCCTGTTTGAGTCGGCGCGCAACTGACATCCAACGTTCGGGTGCATTACCACCACCTACTGTACACACAAAAACATTACAGACTCTGTAGGGCGGATCTCTTCTGGGTCTATGGCGAGGCTACGCACAGATGCTAACAGGGTTGCCTCTAGTGTAATAAAAACACAAAAATTACCACAATATGATGTACTCTTTTACAATTATTTCATATTACACATATTATACTTTAACAGTACACATTTGTCAGTACTTAATAGAGTAGGTTTCATGACTATTTCACGAATTGCCGTGAGATTGGGTTGGAAATCAGGATACAGGATTGTCAAAAACTAAAACATAACCAGGATATATGTCCACCACTAGTGTCAAATATAAATGTGATTCCCACAGCCAAGACTTTCTGTGACTTCTTTCCTTACAGTGTTGTATGATGTATGTTTTCTTAGGTCTTGTTTGTATCAATTCCATTTCATGATGAAATTAAGCTTAAGTATAGGGATTTTTAAAATATTAATTCAATTTCATTGTAGAGTGAAATTTGTCTATTGTGCTGAATCATTCACACTGGCAGACAGGCCTTGTAATTGATGTTCAGTGTTTTATTATTTTTTCTCTTTCAAGCACTGTCTCCTTCACCTCCAGAAGATTCAGAGAACCCTGTGTCCCCAAAGCTTGAGGTCCTAGAGGGGCAGGGCAGCTTCAAGCTGGACGGTTGGTGGTTAAAGCTAAGTCAGTTTCATGGCCTCATCGTCAAGCGGTTCCACTGTGCCAAGAGGAATACCAAGGGCCTCTTCTCTCAGATTCTCCTACCTGCCTTCTTTGTCTGTGTGGCAATGACCGTGGCCTTATCTGTACCTGAAATCGGTGAGATCTTCTATGTGTGTTTTGCTGTAGGTCTTTATCCTATTTATCAAGACAACAATAATTGCTGTTTTTATTCCCTACCAGCGGGACAGAAATTGCTTTTAATGCAACAGCAGGTGTAGTATAGCAGAGTTGTTCAGTGCTGATAATTATACTGTTGACGATAGTTTCCTGTTTATTACTGACCAAACGTTACATCTGCTTAGCTTTAAACTGGTGTCCAAGTAGAGGGCTAGAATGAAAATACATGTGACTTTTCATGACAAAGATTCAAAAGAACAGATGTAGAGATCACTCTATTCTGCACCTAAAAATTCTTACATTTTTGGCTTTCTGAAAACTCTGATTGTGGTCTGATAACATGGTGGTCAAAGGTGATCAAAGAAATATTCAGCGCCTTTAAAGAAAGTGGTGAAGGCAGTAACAGTTCTTAATTTGTAAAGAATATTGCTCAAAGGTATTTTCCTTTGATTCAAATCATCAGTTGTCAAAGGTTTTAGAAAAGAGCGTCTGCACCTTTAAGTTTGCCCAAGTAGACTGGACAACACTTGAAACAAGTCAATTTGTTTTAAAAAGGGCAGATTCTGTTTCGGTAAGTAAGACTGTTGAACAAAGAAAAACGTAAAGAAAACATTTAGGCACCACATACCATTGAAACAAGAAGCTTACATACATGGTAAAAAAGACACTTNTTCTTGAGTTGGTCAACTTCATCCTGCACCAGAGATGAGGACTCGAGTTTGTGACTTGGACTCGAGTCGCACACAGAGAGACTTCAGACTTGACTTGGACTTGTGCTCAAAAGACTTCAGACTCGACTCAGACTCATGTTTTGGGACTCGTGAACAATCATTATCTTTTCTTTTTTCCTTTCCTTTATTTCTTTGTTTTGGCATATCAACATTGGGAAAACGCTCAAATGTCTGACGAGCTTTAAACCCCTTACCGTTCCTGCGTCCCGCCGGCGGGACGTGACCACTTTCCAAAAACATTACAGCCATATGTGCTCACTCCACAATCAAGTTTCCCGACAATATACACATCAACTGAAAGCTCAGAGTCTGATGATATAAACCTTTTTGACAGCGTTGACACAAAGAGCTTTTTGTACAGAAAAGCAAAATGTTAAAATCCGACTTTTCTTACTTTTGAAGGCTCTCTGCAGCTCAAACATCGCTCATTCCTCACCAGCTTGGTCTCATTCTGTCCGGACAGAACCAGTCAACATCATCCAGTAAAATAATTCAGTCCGTAACACATATTAGATCCTCAAAGGCACAAATTCTGCAGTAATGTCTTCCCAGCTTGAGATCAGGTCCGGCTGTTTTATTCATTTCTTCTGGCAAAATCAGGAAGAATCTATTTTAGATCGCGCTGAAAGTGCTACAGGCGGCTAGACGGCGGTATTAGCTTTTGATTGACACCTAGTTTGGCCAATACGAGGCCTTTGGGGGTGAATGACAGCCTGAAGGGCCAATGGAGTGTCTCAGACAGTCAACCCGGTACGCACAAGTTCCATCCTTGTAGATTCAACCAGTCGGGTTGCAGACACTCTCTGACGCTATAAACTTGTAGCCAATGAGCAGACGAACACGTGGACGTGTCGGAAAGCAGGATTCTTTCTGTGTGGCGGCTGACAGCCGTGAGTAGTGGTTCATGAAAAGTGGTGCATAAAGTGTGCGAAATGCATCAGTCCTCCATCTTCTTTGTTGTGGGATAGCACCACAACACGGCAACACATACAGAAAAGAGAAAATAGACAACAGGGGAAGTGGTAGAGGCTGCACAAGTCGAGACAGCAGCATATCTGTGTGCGTTCTTCAAACAGAGACTGTTATAACGAGCGACTCATAGAGAACAAGTGAGCGTCTTAGTGCTCAGAATATGTGTACAGTTTGACTTATACAGTAAATATACAGTTTGCAGTGTTTTTTGTTTGTGTGAATTGTAAATATAATTTTAAACTTGCCCATAACACTTGTTTTGATATGGTCTTATTATAACTTTTTATGAAAAATATACATTTTATTTAGTTTTTATGCTGACATATGAATTTCTATAACTAATAGAGTGACTCTGNTTTTTTTTTTTTTTTTACTACTTTCTTCAAAGTCACAAGTTTACATACATTTACCTAGTATTTGGTGGCATTGTCTTTAAACTGTATCACTTGGATCAAACGTTTGGGGTATCCTTCCACAAGCTTCTCACAATAGTTTGGTGGCCCATTCCTCCTGACAGAACGGGTGTAACTGAGTCAGGTTTGATGGCTGCCTTGCTTCACATGTCTTTTAAGTTCTGCCCACAAAATGGATTGAGATAAGGCCTTTGTGATGGCCACTCCAAAACATTGACTTTGTTGTCCTTAAGCCACTCCGTAACCAATTTGGCGGTATATGTAGTATCATTGTCCATTCTGAAGACCCATTTGCGCCCAAGCTTTAACTTCCCGTTGATGTCTTGAGATGTTGTTTCAATATTTAATGTAATGTAATATAATGTTCTTTCCTCACAATGCCATCTATTTTGTGAAGTGCACCAGTCCCTCCTGTAGCAAAACACCCCCACAACATGATGCTGCCACCCCCATACTTCACAGTTGGGATGATGTTCTCAGGCTTCAAGCTTCCCCCATTTTCCTCCAAATGTAACGATGGTCATTATGGCCAAACAGTATAATTTTAGTTTCATCTGACCACAGGACATGTCTCCAAAAATTAAGGTCTTTGTCCCTGTGTGCATTTGGAAACTGTAATCTGGCTTTGTTTATGTTTCTTTTGGAGTAATGGCTTCTTGCTCTCTGACTAGCCTTTCAGCCCATGTCGGTACAGGACTGGTTTCACTGTGGATAATGACACTCTCTTACCAGCTTCAGCAGCATCTCCACAAGGTCTTTAGCTTTTGTTCTGCGGCTGACACGCACACCAACACATGTTCATCTCTTGGACACAGAGCCTGTCTCCTTGCTGAGTGTTATGATGGCTGGACATGGTGTCTTTACTTGCGTATAATTGTTCGAACAGATGAACGTGGAACCTTCAAGCTTTTGGAACTTGTACCTAAGGATGAACCAGACTTGTAGAGGTCCACAATTGTCTTCCTGATATCTTGGCTGATTTCTTTAGATTGTCCATGTTGTCACAAAAAGAAGCAGTGTGTTTGAGGTCGGCCTTAAAATACATCCACAGGTGTGCCTCCAATTAACTCAAATGTTGTCTATGAACCTATCAAAAGCTTCCAAAGCTATAACATCATCATCTGGACTTTCCCAAATAGTTTGAAGGCATAGTAATCTTAGTGTATGTAAACTTCTGACTTTAAAGAAAGTAAGAACAAAGTCAATAAAAAAAATCTCTCTCATTATTCTGGCATTTAGCAAATCGAAATAATTTTAGTAATCCTAAGTGAGGNTAATGAGAGTTTTTTTTGAGATTTTTTTTTTTTTTTTTTACTACTTTCTTCAAGTCAGAAGTTTACATACATTTGCCTAGTATTTGGTGGCATTGTCTTTAAACTGTATGACTTGGATCAAACGTTTTGGGTTTCCTTCCACAAGCTTCTCACAATAGTTTGGTGGCCCATTCCTCCTGACAGAACGGGTGTAACTGAGTCAGGGCTGCCTTGCTCGCACACGTCTTTTCAGTTCTGCCCACAAAATGGATTGAGATCAGGGCTCTGTGATGGCCACTCCAAAACATTGACTTTGTTGTCCTTAAGCCACTCCGTAACCAATTTGGCGGTATATGTAGTATCATTGTCCATTGTGAAGACCCATTTGCGCGCAAGCTTTAACTTCCCGTTGATGTCTTGAGATGTTGTTTCAATATTAAATGTAATGTAATATAATGTTCTTTCCTCACAATGCCATCTATTTTGTGAAGTGCACCAGTCCCTCTTGGAGCAAAACACCCCCACAACATGATGTTGCCACCCCCATACTTCACAGTTGGGATGGTGTTCTCAGGCTTGCAAGCTTCCCCCTTTTTCCTCCAAATGTAACGATGGTCATTATGGCCAAACAGTTCAATTTTAGTTTTATCAGACCACAGGACATGTCTCCAAAAATGAAGGTGTTTGTCCCTGTGTGCATTTGGAAACTGTAATCTGGCTTTTTTTATGTGGCTTTTGGAGTAATGGCTTCTTGCTCTCTGAGTAGCCTTTCAGCCCATGTTGGTACAGGACTGGTTTCACTGTGGATAATGACACTCTCTTACCAGCTTCAGCCAGCAGCTTTACAAGGTCTTCTGCTTTTGTTCTGGGGTTGATACGCACACCAAAACATGTTCATCTCTTGGACACAGAGCCTGTCTCCTTGCTGAGTGTTATGATGGCTGGACATGGTGTTTATACTTGCGTATAATTGTTCGAACAGATGAACGTGGAACCTTCAAGCTTTTGGAAGTTGTACCTAAGGATAAACCAGACTTGTAGAGGTCCACAATTGTCTTCCTGATATCTTGGCTGATTTCTTTAGATTTTCCATGTTGTCACAAAAGGAAGCAGTGTGTTTGAGGTCGGCCTTAAAATACATGCACAGGTGTGTTCCAATTAACTCAAATGTTGTCTATAAACCTATCAAAAGCTTCCAAAGCTATAACATCATCATCTGGGCTTTCCCAAATAGTTTGAAGGCACAGTAATCTTAGTGTATGTAAACTTCTGACTTGAAAGAAAGTAAGAACAAAGTCAATAAAAAAAATCTCTCTCATTATTCTGGCATTTAGCAAATCGAAATAATTTTAGTAATCCTAAGTGAGGAAAAAAAGGTTTTATATCCTTTTATACAGTGTATGTATACTTTTGGTTTCAACTTCATCGCAGAGAGAGAAGACACAAAGTTCATGACTCGTAATTGTGGTTTGTAACTGTATGGATGAGAGAGAGAAGAGTAGAGGAGAGGAGCCCAGTGCATCATGGGAAGTTCCCCAGCTGTCTAAACCTATAGCAGCATAACTCAGGGACGGCTCAGGCGATCCTGAGCGGCCCTAACTATAGACTTTATGAAAGAGGAACACTTTAAACTGAATCTTAAATAGGAGAGGGTGTCTGCAGGATTTAAATTTTAAACTGGATTTTACAGGGAGCCAGTGAAGAGAAGACAATATGGGAGACATATGATCTCTCTTACTGGTTTCTGTCAGAACCCAAGCTACACCATTTTGGATCAGCTGGAGGTTTTTAAGAGCATTAAGCATTATTGTAACATTCTTAAAATAGGAAGTTACAATAGTTTAACCTAGAGTTATAAATACATTGATTAGTTTTCCACAATCACACTGATACAGGATGTTCCTGATTTTGACAATACTATGTAGGTGAAACAAGGCTGTCCTACAGATGGCCTTTATGTCTGTTTTTCTTTATCCTGGTCAAAAATAACTCTGGAACTGGAGACCAAGGCAATGCCATCCAGAGCAGCTATCTAGTTAGATGGTGTTTCTGAGGTGTTTAGGGCCAAGTATAATTACCTTAATTTTGTCTGAATTGAAATGACAAAAATTACAGACCTTTATAGACCTTTATATTCAGACATGCCTGGAGTTTGGCTAACTAATAAGCTTAATTTGGCTTTATAGATAAATATAACTGGGTGTCATCTATGTAACAGTGGAAATTTATGCACTGTTTCCAAATAATATTGTCTAAGGTACAAAGTAAAATATTATTGAGGGTTTCTTTACCTTCGTCAAACCTATTGAGACAGCAGCTCTCTTTATTTTTATTTACATGGTAATACTGGGTTAACACCCTTCTTGCTTATGTAATTTTAAAATTTCAAACCAAAATACTGACATTAAAAAACACTGAATCATTCAAAGAGAGGAGCTACAGAGGTGATGATAGTTTCCTGTGGGTTTGTTGCTTTGAGGGCATTACACTCATAGTTATTTGATCCACAGTTAATAGGAAAATATTGAGTGGTGCAGCTTTGATAAATTCAAGCCTTTAAACAATAATTGGAAAAAATAAAAACACTGGAAAAACTAAACATGTAATTAGTTAGGCCTTTCTAAGGACCAGAGTGCTTGTTTAATGATGACAAAACATTTCTACCAGTTGATGCTTTTGGCATTACTTTCAAAACATAAAGGAAGGGAAACGGGTGGATAAACATGCTCTTTGTCCTGTTTTACAGGAGATTTGCCACCCCTGATATTGTCTCCATCGCAGTATCATAACTATACCCAACCAAGGGGCAACTTCATTCCTTACGCTAATGAAGACAGACCGCAGTACAGGTAGTGTGATGTTTATTTTACAGTTTCATTTATTTGCATTGTAATGTCTCCTGTGCTTTTTTGTATTCTCATGTATACACAGTTACAATGCTGAACACCTTGAAGGGTCATTGTTCATCTTGTAGACAAAGAAAGGAATGACTCAAACTGCCGACATATGCTTCTGAAAACAGTCATTCTCACATGATTTGTTTTGATATAACTTTATTATCAGATTGTTTCCTAAAAGTTTTGCACAGTTTTATATACAAAACTAAATACGTACATATGTCATATCAAACATTACAAATTAGCGACTGAAGTGCAGTCATTACAATTGTTTTTTTCTATACGCCACATTCAGTGCTTAAACTGCACAAACACACTGTGGCCGGCTTAAAACCTCAACTCAGACTTAACAGTTTGACAGACTGCTGAACAAAAGAGCCCATCAGTCTGTTCAGTTTACCCTGTGGAACTCTAAATCTTGTATTTGATGGCAAAAAGCCGATATCTGATAAAATATGGATCTGATTTAAAATACCTGCCAACATCCTTTCAGTATGTGCAAAAGAAAAAACAGACTCCAGGCCTATTGTCCCTGACCTAATATGTAAGTCCAACCAATTAAGTAAGCTTTAAGCTACAAAGAAACAGCTGTACAATGTATTATAGAATAATAAGAACATATAACATTCATCACAAGACCAATAATAATGCACCATAAGTGTAATATACACTCTAAGTAAAAATGTCCTATTTGATAAACTCTTAATTAAAAATGTACTATGTGATGAACTCTAAAATAAGAATGTACTATTGATAAACTCTAAATAAGAATCTCCTATGTAGTAACCTATAAATAAAAGATTTACAAATGTGAAAGTCTATAAATAAGAATGTACAAATGTTAACGTGTTTTGTGCAAGAGTAGAAGAAAAAGTATGCAAAAGGCAATTTCAAATGACAGAACCAGATAAATTGAACAGAAATATTGCTTATGGCAGGAAAGATTTCCTGTATCTGTCCTTGTGGCAGCACACGGTGAAGCGGGTGGTCAGGGTTATCTAGGACGGACAACAGTTTATTCAAAGTCCACCTCTCCACCACAGCTTCAAAACAGTCCGGTTTGCAGCCAGTCACAGAGCCGGCTTCCTTTATCAATTTGTTCTGTTATGAAATAGGCTCAGAGACTCAGGCGCAGACATATGACATGGCACACCAAGCATGCAATTGAACAATCTTTTATTTACAGCTATACAAAAATCCAAAACAAGAAGCAGGGTTAATGGAGTAATCAAAACTAAGTCTATAACAACACCTGCAGGTAGACTAAATAACAAAACACTTACACTAAACTCAGAATCAGAATATTTACAAATTACGGATTTAGTGGGGCAGATTACTCGATATATGACCTGCCGAGACAAACTTGGTTGATCAATTCATTCATGCAGATTTTCACAATGATATTTATTTTATACCATGATGTGACCCTTGATGGGGTCCTTGGAGGGGAAACCATTCATAGTTGACAAAGCTTAAGTCACTTATCCAACAAACCTAAGCAGCTGCTTGTATGCAAGTGCTTCTTTAAAGTCTCATTGCGAGATGCTTCAATTATTTGGTTCCTCTACGTTGTGTTTTTAGAAATCAGAAAATGTGGCTTCATAATTTTGCTATAATGTTGTATATTTACGACACACTGTATGCACATTATATTCATAAATATTGTGCTGGTTTTTTTTACTAATAATATCCATATTAGAAAAGACAGTTGTTAACAGTTTGTATTAAAATATGGAGCCTTGCAAACCTATGGTAAACATGCAAAGGTGATTTGACCTCTTGACATAAATGCCTGAGGATGTACATGGCCCAATAATTGAAATAACACATTATTTTAACCAAAAATAATCGTACACAGTAGCAGTTCTGCTACTGTGGACATGTTCCACTGGATTAGGTAGTTGTGACAGTGTCAGTAACCAGTGCGCAATCTAACTGTAGCATCTTTGGCCCCGCTCACAGGAGTAAGCTGTCACCAGACGCTAGCCCACACATGATAATCAACACCCTCCGCCTGCCCTCCGGTGTGGGTGCTACTTGTGTCCTCAAAACTCCCTTCAACAGCACCCTGGACCAACTGGCCCAAACTATCAACCCCAATGCCAATGATTCCAAGACCCTGGCTGCACGCTACTTTGACTCCATGTGTCTGGACTCCTTTACCCAGGGGGTCCCTCTCTCCAACTTTGTCCCTCCACCACCTTCACCAGCACCTTCAGATGACCCAGACCCTCGTTTTGAGGATGGGCTGTGGAACTTAACAGCTGCCCCACCAGCTACAGTCCATGGTGAGTTCATCACACAAGGCTGCTGATTGCTTCCATGTCATCTGTGCAATCCACTTCAATATGTGTCGCTGTATATTTGGCTGAAGTGTATTAACCGGACTTGTTCAAATCTGATTAGACTTTGCTAATTTCTTTAATTTTTTAATTTTTTAAAATTTATTTATTTATTTCTGGAATATGTGCATAGAGTATCATTGCCTGTAAAACAGGTTCATAATGCATGTCAAGACAAAGGGGAGGGGGCTATCCTGCCACTTTGAAGCCAGTTTAGTGAAATAATTTGTTATTGGACATATGAAGCACTACAGTATATGTGTGCTCTGTATGTTACACAGCTACCATCATGTGTTAAACAAGTTTAACGATTGTCTTTTGTAATTACACATTTACACCGTGTGACTGTCCACTGTCTGTGTTCTACCAAAAAATCTAAACATTTTCAACATACTCTAGGCGACACATGCTCGGGCTGATGAGCAGTCACCATTTGACTGAACAAACCTTGCAATCCTCAGCACTAATTCCAATTGTGCCTTTGTCTACTTTAGGTCCAAAATGTGCAGAGAGAAAGGTGTGCTGGGTTAAATACATCTCTTTTCTATTTGCTTAGAGCCTGTTACGTCTCCTCCCACCCTCCCCCTGTCTATCCATGAGCTGGTGCGTTGCACCTGCTCTATGCAGGGGACCGGCTTTTCCTGCCCTAGTGGGGTAGGAGGACACCCCCCACTAATGAAGATAGTGACAGGTGACATTTTAGTGGACATCACAGGTCGGAACGTCAGTGAATATCTGCTCTTCACATCAGACAGAGTACGGCTACACAGGTAGGACTGCCAGTACAGCATCTTATATAGTAAAAATAAATACTGACAACATGGACAGCTTCAAAGTACACATGTAAAGTCCCAAAAGAGACACAAGCAACAAGTAATTTAAATTAAGTGTGAATCAACTAAAGGTGCATGGAAAATTAGAGTTACCTAAACCACCAAAAAGTCAGGGATGAGTAAGGCAAGGGCCAGGCCTAAGGCAGTCGCCAACAACATTAAATATTACTTCTTACAAAGTAATCAGAACTATATCAGAAAGGTTAACTTAAAATTTAGTAGCTAACCTTAGACAAATAGTACAGAATAGTACAAAACTTAAAACTAAAATAAGCCTTAGCAGAGCACAAACAGTGCTACAGTCTTCGGCTAACAAGCTGGTTCAAGAGTAGCCCAAGAAACACCAGCAGACAGCTGGCCAGGCAAGGCTACAACACTTTAGTGGCAGTGTTTATGGGTTACAGAACTGCTAGAGTAGGGCTATGAGCCTGGGGCCGGAATCTGAGAAAGCGCCTGGGCCTTACAATTAAAGAAAATTTTCTCTTTCCCTCTACTAGACACAGAAGAGAGTGAGGTATATTTTAACTTGAGGCAAGAATAGACTGCTCTCTGCCTTTGCATGTACCCCTAGAAATTCCAAGAGTATAAAAAAGGGAGCTCTCTTGTCATTAAATTCTTTGTTCTGTTTGCCTAATCGGGCTGCAAGGTGCTGTGGTGGTTAGCACCATTGCCTCACAGCAAGAAGGTCGCCGGTTTGCGTTCCAGTGACGACACCCGGAATCTTTCTGCGTGGAGTTTACATGTCCTCCCCGTGCAGTGTGGGTTCTCTTCGGATTTTCCGGCTTCCTCCCACACAGTGCAAAAACATATTGAGGTTAACTGGTGATTCTAAATGGTCCGTAGGTGTGAATGTGAGTGTGCTTGGTTGCCTGTCTATAAGTGTAGCCCTGCGATGGACTGGCGACCTGTCCAGGGTGTCCCCTGCCTTTGCCCTAAGTCAGCTGGGATAGGCTCCAGCCCCCCCACGACCCCTGTGAGGATTAAGTGGTATATAGATAATGGATGGTGTTACGAATAGGACAAAGACTCAGGTGCGGGACAACAAGGCACAACGACAGGGTCAGGAGATATATTCTTTAATAACAAAAGTGGTTTTACAGGAACTAAAGTCGCTAACCAAAACAAGGTAAACCGAGCATGGAAAGGATAGAAAACTAAACTAAAAACTACTGTGAAGCGCTAGCGAATAACTGATTAAATAATACAAACTAAGGATAACTAACGGACAGAAAAGCTTACTGACAAAACAGGCTAACTAACAAACAGCAACACAGTTATTTAAACTAGCATTGCTAGGCACATTACTCAACCGGGGCTGGAAAGCGAGGAAGAGGGGTTCTAGGCAGATGGAGAGATGCGAGTGGCAGCGGCGGTGGAGCGGCAGCGGCAGACCGGTGGAAGGCAGGAAGAATCCAATGGACGGGTTGTCCGGGTTATCGCAGAGGTAGACACGCACTCCAACTGGAACAAAGAAAACAGTTCAAATGCGGCAAACACTCAGACAGAAGAGCTGAAAAGATCAGACAGGGCTAACAGAGCTGTTTTTACGATCTGGCGCCATGTCATGGTCTGGAGGAGGCTTTTATCCGTTTGAGGAGACGCTGCAGGTAATCACTCCCAGCTGATCTCATCAGCTGATTGGGAACTGCTTCCACTTGTCATGCCACGCCACCACTCACCAGGAGAGAAAGAGGGAGAACTGCCACTAGCTGACAGCAGAGGGCGTAACAGTACCCCCCCCTCTACGTGCACCTCCAGGTGCATGAGCCACTTGACCAGGCCGCCTCCGATGGAACTCCCTGATGAGAGTTGAGTCAAGGATGAACCGACGAGGAACCCAACTGCGTTCTTCTGGGCCATAACCCTCCCAGTCCACCAGATACTGGACTCCACGTCCCCGTCTACGAACATCCAACAGTCGACGGACAGTGTAAACAGGACCACCATCCATGATCCTGGGTGGAGGAGGGGGACGGACAGGGGGGCCCAGTGGGCTCTCTTTAACCGGTTTAATCTGGGAAACATGAAACGTAGGATGGACCCGCATAGACGCAGGTAATTTCAGGCGAACAGCAGTGGGATTAATGATTCGATCGATAGAAAATGGACCCACAAACCTGGGAACCAATTTTTGGGACTCCACCCTAAGTGGCAGATCCTTGGCCCGAAGCCAGACTCTCTGACCAGGAATGTAGACGGGAGCAGGAGTCCGATGCCGATTAGCCTGTCTCTCCATCCTCTGGGAAGCCCTCACCAAGGACGTCCTGGCCTTCTTCCAGATCCTTTCACACCTTTTCAGAAAGGACTGGACTGAAGGAATGTTGATCTCACGTTCCTGAGAGGGAAACAGAGGGGGCTGGTACCCCAAAGAGCACCGAAAGGGAGAGAGTCCAGAGGAAGCGTTAGTTAAGGAATTATGGGCACACTCAATCCACGGAAGAAACGTACTCCAAACAGACGGATTTCCGGACGTCATGCACCGGAGGAAGGTCTCCAACGACTGGTTAGCCCGCTCCGTCTGACCATTAGACTGGGGATGGAAACCAGAGGTTAAGCTCACAGTAGCACCAAGGGCTGCACAGAATGCCTTCCATACCTGTGATGTAAACTGAGGTCCCCGATCCGAGACAATGTCCGCTGGTATCCCGTGCAGGCGAAACACATGAGTAACCAGGAGGTCAGCAGTTTCTTTAGCGGAGGGGAGTTTGGATAGCGCTACGAAGTGTGCAGTCTTAGAAAAACGGTCAATGATGGTTAGAATGACTGTATTACCTTTAGAGGGGGGAAGACCGGTGACAAAGTCTATGGCAATATGAGACCAGGGACGACGGGGAACTGGCAATGCATTCAGGAGACCAGTGCTGGGCTGGGTTGAAGTCTTATTAGCAGAACAGACAGTACAAGCAGCAACAAACTC